TGCGCAGCACGCAGATCTCGTCGACGAAGATCATCGATGACCTCTGCTTCATCCCAATAAAGCGTAAGGTTGGCAATTTCTGGTCCGACGTTAGTGCCCATAGGGATACCGACCACCTGATGGCGCAGAGTGTCATCCCTTGTATGAAAATAAATATTAGAAACCGTATTCCMCCCCCCCCCCCCCCCCCCCCCCCCCCCCTTCTGTGTGTGTGTGTTTGTGAATGTTCACCACAACATCCCCTGTTCCACCCAAATAGGTATATCCAAAATTGCAGCAACTTTACCTCTATTGTAGAAGATGAAGCATGCTTGAGATGAATCAATCCAGCAAGGAAACAGTGTTGCCTCAATAGTTAGCAACATGAGGCTTAATAAAAATGTTACCTTTATGCAAGCAATGCCTACAAGAGTACATCCAACATCATAGGAACCTGACCCTTATGCAAGCAATGCAACATACTTGAGAGGGGGGTTGCCCAACAATGAGACAGTTAGCAATATGATCGACAATAGATCAATTATATCATTTTCTTGACTATATTCACTTTTGTGTGTGTGTGTGTGTGTGTGTTTCAAAAAAAAAACGAACCCTTTCTCTCAAAGCATTACAAACCAGATGCATGTGTGGAAATAAAAGAACTACAGATATGCCACATTGTTATGATCTTGGCCAATTTCGAGATACACATTTATCAGATAGTTCAATGTCATCCAACTGCAGAAAGAAATGAATGAACTTGAGAGGAGAGAGAGGGTTAGAAGAAGAAGAAAGAAAGAAAGAAAGAAGAAGAAGATGATGTACACCGGCATAAACAAAATTTAATGAGAAAGTTCTTCTTCTTCGCCAATCACTCTCCTCCTCCTTATCTCCTCCCTTCTTATTCACACAATAAATAATCATACAATGTTGAATGGTTGAACCAGAATCAATGTCCAAATCCCTCTTCTACTACAGGTATCACTTGAGGTCTACCATAGCCATGGCCGCCTCCCTCACTCTTCATTCTCATAGGCCGAGGCTATGGCGGACTACTAGGCCTTGCCCAGATGCCCAAAGCACAACCCAAAGCAGCTATGGCTGCTCTAGCTCAGGCCGCCATGCCTGACTCTGCCTCGAAGCTTCTTGGTGTAGTTGTACACCAGTTGGGGCCTTCCTGCTGCAGCGCCCACCAAGGTGATGAAGATCGCTGCCACCATAGCCAGGTAAGTACCTCTGGCGCTCCCCCCCCCTTCCTGTCCTTCTTCCTCTTTCGTGTCCTTGCTTCTTCCCTCGCAGCGCTGCTCCAAGCTAGCGCTACCGCAGCCAGCGCTCCAACCAGTGTGTCGCCGAACTTACACACCGACAATGAGGTTGCGCTCTTCGCCCGGCCTGGAGATATAGCGGCCTGCTTGCCTCTTGGGCGGTGACTTCCAGGCCGCTCGTCCTTCCAAGCAACCGGTACCACCTCCCTTTCGGAAGGAAACATCATTGCAGACTCTGATATCGCCCGTACAGGCCCTAGACTCAGACTGGTTGGACTGGTACCCGCCAAGACCTAGCCTACAACTACTGGGCCTCTAAAAATGTCACTTTTGTCTTCTTCTGCTCGGCCTCCAGTACCCTGCACATCTACCGCTTCAGGGTGTGGTACCAGCCTACCTGCTACTTGAGTGTTTCCTCACTGCTTCAAGTGTTGTGGGCCTCTTYCCCCGCCACTTGAGTGTTTTCCCTCGCTGCAATCCTCAATGCCACGGCCACAGGTAGGTACTGGCCCTGAGGGAAACTCGGCAAGACAGTCAGTCTATGAGCAAAACTCAGAAGAACGTCTGGAGCATTCAGTCTGGAGTAGCGCCGTTGTGGGGGTTGCCGAGCAGAAAGGTGCCAGCTTGGATGAAGAACGTACCTGGTCGCGTTGACGGACCAGGTGCAGCTGCAAAAACGAGCTTGGAGATAGCTATCCGTGATGGCGGGATAGAGAGAGAGGAAGGGGGGGGAGGGAGCAGAGGTTCAAAACCCGCTCCGATACCAATGTGACGCACGTGCAGATGGCACGTGTGGAGATGGTGAGAGAGAGAGAGAGAGAGAGAGATGGACACACATGAAAAGCAGCAGCTGAGTGAAGGTCCAGTCCGGCTCGATCAAAGAACGAACAACTGAATGAGTGACCAACCCGGCCTGGGCCTAGGCCGGAGAGATATACTGGCCGGTGGCCTTGGTCCAGGCCGGAGTAACCCGGTACCGGACCGGGGTCAGGCCGACGGCCTGAAACAGGTCCGGCCTCACTGCCGGGCCGAAAGGGTACCGCTACAACACTGCTGTACCTTTTCAGATGGGACAAGGTCGCTGCCCTCCGGAGAAATGCGGATTTGGTACTTGGTCTAAAGAGCACTGGTTGGAAATGCGCATTGTGGTATAAGGTTGCGGGTTGTAGGACCGGTGTGTGTGTGTGTGTGTGTGTGTGTGTGAGAGAGAGAGAGAGAGAGAGAGAGTGCGGTTGTAGGACCGGTGATAGCAACATGTTGCAGCAACTGGTGACAGCAGCCTATTGCTTTAACAAATTGCTGTCACAGGTTACCGTAAGCAGTTGCTGCAACCGGTCACAACAACGGGTTAATGGTTTGCAGCAACCAATTGCTGTAACCCGTTGCAGCAACCACTTGCTGACACCAATTCCAGCAACAGGCGACAGCAACCGGTTACTGCAACTGGTTGCTTTAACTGGTTCCTGTCCCCCTTAGCCGAAGCCGGTTTCTGCAATTGGTGGATGTCACCAGTTGGGGTGAGTGGTTGTTGTAACTGCTAACCGGTGAGGCAACAGATTACAGCGTTGGGTTACTGCGGCCTGTTACAGCAAACAGTTGTCGCGACGACTACTGCCGTAAACCTATTACAGCGACCGGTTGATGTCTGACTCAGCAGTTGTTGCAACCAGTTGCTGTAACTGGTTGCTTTCTCCAGACTGTTGTATTCCATTTCAGCAATCGGTTACGTTTTTGCTCCAACCAGTTGTTTCGACCGGTTCCTTTCACCAAATTGCTATAACCGGTTGCAACATCTGGTTACTGTAACCGGTTGCAGCAACCACTTACTGTAACCAGCGGCTGCTGTCACAGGTTGCTGAGACCGGTTTTTGTTACTGGTTGCTTCCAACAGGATGCTATAGCCTGTTGAATCAACCGTTGATAGTAAAGAGTTGCAGCAATCGGTTACAGAAATCGGTTCGTGTAACTGGCTCTTTCTCTCTCTCTCTCTCTCTGTCTCTCTCTGTCTCTCTCTGTCTCTCTCTCTCTGTCTCTCTCTCTCTGTCTCTCTCTCTCTCTGTCTGTCTCTCTCTCTCTCTCTCTCTCGGTGCCCTGGCCACTTTGGCCAAGGCTGCGCCTGATAGGGCGCTGCATGTTTTGTTAGCCGCTCTGAGATTTGCGGCTCGAGGTAAGTAGGTTAATTCAGAAGGGTTTT